GAGCGGGCGCGTCCCGACTTACTGCGGCCGTGGCCGGGGCGCGGAGCCGGCGCCGCGCCACCTTCCCGCCCTCCGCGCGCCCGGGAAGCCGCGGGGCTCCGAAGTGAGCGGAAGGGCTTGCAGCTCCGGGAGGGCCTCTGGCTTTCCAGTACCGGAGGGTGGAGTTTTAGCTGTTGTTATTTAAACTTCACCGGGGACACAGCGCGAGTGATCTGGGGCTCCTCCAGCGCGGGTCTCCGCCTGTGCACCTACCCGCGCGGGTCCTGCTGGGGACATGTGTAGCCTTCCCGTGGCACATAGGAGTCGAAGCGCTTCATGGTAAATACAGATTTTTATGCCTTAGTTTGTAGGGTGGGAATAATCTGTTGCTTTTCCTGGAATGCTCGTATCTTTCTCTTCAGGAGTGATCATTTCAGATTCTCCTTTATAAAGGAGGTGGGACCCATGACAGCAGCGATGTAACAATCAGATTGTCTAGAATTCCAAAGCAAAGCTGTGTGTGTTCGAGTCGTAGGCTGCTGGGCTGCTTTCTCGGGGAGGTGGTCTGTGTGGTCTCTGATTTGCTCGGTTAGTGAACACTTGGGTGTGTGGACATATTTCAGAGGTCACGACGTCCTAGAAATCACGCTCAGACAAGCGAGTTGCTGCATTTTTAGGGAGATAGAGCAGCCTTCAGATACCCAAAGAGATCTGTGACCGAAGAGAAAAATGAGACGAGTTCAAACATAAAAGCCACGCTCAAAGTAACTGTCTTGCTATGTACTTTTAGACATAGATTAGTAGGAAAAACTCTCGAATAGTGTTGAAATAATATTTTTATTTAAAATAGACTCATTAGTATGTTTTTAAATAGATCAGCAAACTTAGTCCTGTGAACTGTGGTTAGTAGAAATGTGTGTTGAATAGATGAATACTTTTCCCTTTCTCATGTAAGATCTTTTTAGTATAGAACAGAAAATAAAAGAATTTTTTCTGCCTCGAAATCCAGCTCGCATATAAAGTAGTTATACTTGGTGTGACGTTTCGTAATGCCTGAAATATAAATAGCCTTTTAAAGGCCCTATTTCTAGATGTCCAACTATAAAATAACATATTTAAGATAGTTTTCTGTCATTCAAGAATGAGGAAGGAAGTGTGAAGTTATTTATATCTGACGACTTGAAAGAAAAAAATGTGGACGACTTCACTACTTAGTTTTGTGTTCATTATGGCTATGGCTTATTACACGGTCTCACTTTAAGACATTTAAAAGATGTTTTGATTAATATATTTTACTATAAAAAAATGACAACATTGAAATTGAATTATTATAAATAACACAGCAATAGAATATTTTGTGATTAAATTTCATGAACTTTGGTGTAATTTTCAAATAGAATTGGAAAAAGTTGAATTTTTAACCCAATGTCTTGTGTATTGCTGACAAAATATTGTACAACCTTGAATTTTGTCAGAAATTCTCAGAGTTTTGTCAGAAATCTACAAACAGATTAATTCTCAAATTTACATTTCTTAAAAATACGTGTGTGGGAGAGAGTAGTGGGTTTTTTTTTTTTTCAGGTTTGGCTAAATTAGTATCATATGTACCTCTAAATCCTAATTAATATTTTTTAAGAAATAAACATCTAACTAGCCTTAAGGATGAATATTCATAAATAGGAGGAAATGGACAAATAAGCGATACTCAAATAAGCCAAGCCAAGGAATATGGTATTGATGAGAAGACATTTTGGAGGAAGTTGTGGTTTAGGTTAGCTTTCTCTTGGCTGGACTCACTAAGGAGTTGCTTGGCTTCTATTTGCTAGAATATTGAAATTTATCGCACTGCTTTTGTACCTCTTATTTAGAAATATTTACCCAAGCCAGTCTTCTTTAAGATTTATATTTATTTCTTTTCTGCACATTTGTAGAAGCAAATGGTTTTTCCTTCTTAAGCATCAGTAATCACAGTGGTTTTTGTCTCCAGACCACCTGGATTTACTCTGCACCGGTTAAGTGTCTGTATATTATATTGTTTTGTGTGTCTCCATCTTTACTGATATAAAAAGAGCTTTGGGGAATTTTTCAGTTTTTTTGTTGAACCAATTTGCTTGGGGCTGGGGGTATTTCTTGGCCACACGGAATCACATCTGTTTCTTTATTTCCTTTCTGAGCAATTTTGAAGTGTCTTAAAAATGTCATATTTTTCCCTCCCCTGGGTTCAGTTAGGTAACCTTCATCTTCCTATATCCTGAGGGTGGAACAGAATTATTTGGGAGGGATGAAGGATTTTAGTGAGTGCCAGCTTCCTCCTCAGCCCACAGTGGGAGAATAAATGCTAAAACTTGAAAGGTTAAGATCATGGCCTCTTTTGCTGCAAAACAATGCGACTCTCACTACTTCTGGTTACTAAATTCTTTTACCTGGTGTGCTTTCTGGCCATTAATAATATTTTGACAACAAGCCCTCCCTTTTATCAAATCAAAGCCAAATCCAGTTAATTAACTCACAAATCAACTCCTCTGACCCTGTGATAGGAATTAGCAAGAAGTCAACAAAAGACAGTGGTTTTAGCAATGAACCTCCTGGGAAAAGAAGGTAAGGCAGACTCAGTTGGCCTTTGCATTTGTTTTATTTCCAGTGCTGAGGATGGAACCCAGGGCCTCTCATGTTAGGCAAATGCTCTACCACTGAACTACACCTCCTCTTAATCCTAAAAATTTTTTTCTATGTCCAACAAATTTCATATGCTCTTTTGTTATTCCACATGACATCAAAGGTGTATTTTTAAATGTCTGCATCTCCTGCCAAGCTCAAGTTTTCCTTGGTTCACCCATCCTTGGAGTCACAGTGCTTGACTAGCTATTGAGCAGGTCAGTGTCTGATGAAGTAAATACCAGCTGTCCTTCTTGTTTTTCCCTTAAGGATTTTTGTGGCTTGTGCTACGGGTTATTTAGCTCACAAATGTGTGTAAGGCTCGCTATTTGCTTTGTGAGGAGGCCTTGCCTTGGAATAGTGTGGCCTTGTCACACTGAGACCCTTCTGTACTCTCCTCTTATGTGCTCTGAGGCCTGTCAGAGCTGCTTGTTTGGCTGGTACTACTGTTACCCACTCCCTTGCTTTCTTTTTCTGAGTTTACATTGTTCCCTGTTGCTGCCAGTCCTCATTACTAGTGTGTATTAACCTCTCCACTGCTCCTCCTTCCTCAAGAACGTAAAATAACAGAGGTTTTCCTTTCTACTCTGTCATCTCCCATCATTGTTTAGGACTTTGTTCAACATCTGCATCTTTGAATTTCACATATTTGACTTTGTCCTTAACCAATTCACTTCCTGTTTTGGATCCTCTGGTATTCACCCACCCCCAGCCCTCCCATCACTTACCTGAAAAGTCTGAGTGTCTCATATTCTTCTTCAGACCGTGTCTACTATCCTTCCAAACTTTTACTCACTTACCACTAAACACTTTCTTCCATTTTTGTTTTCTGTACCATTTTTTTAATGTTTTCCTCTTTTACCATACTCATCTTTGAGAGCAATTTCAACTCCTCACCAACCCTTAAATTTCTTGCCACTAAAGTGATTCATCGTAATCTAACCTCCTAACTTCAGCTCCAGTGGAATGTTAGCTTCACCATCCTTGCTGGAGACTTAACTGCGTGTAATAATGGAGCCATACCTTTTGGTCAACCAGGAATTGATTTAGCTCCACCTACAGTTTAAAGGCTGGTTAACAGTGCTGTGAAGTTATTTTGTCTTTTCTTGGTTAATTTTATATCACTCTTCCATTCTCATTGGTTTGCTAGTCTTTCCAGATCATCGTCAATCTTCATTCTTAGCAAATGACCATATTTCCCAATCAAACTAGGCATATTAAGACAACATGAAGGTCATTTTTTGGTAAATTACTTGTCAAGACTAGTCTTGAATACACTAGACATTTCTTTATTTGGCCAGTTCTGAGCATACACTTTTGTTAAAGATGAGCTGTGTTGTTTATCTCTATGATATCCATATCCTTATTTTACTTTTTAAAGGACTTGTATAAATGTCTTTGTGTATCAAAACACCTCCATCTGGTGAGATGATACTCAGTTCTTTCTGTCCAACCCTATTTGCTGTGGATTGAGAATCTCATTACCAACAGGCACTGGCTCCTTTGGATGCACTGCTTTGTGATGTGTGAACCTCAGACTCCACTAGAGAACTGTGTTAGTGTCACTCGATAAATTTGATTATCTCCTCTGGAGTTACTCAGCCTAAGATCTAATCTGCCCTTTTTCTTTTGCATTCCTACTACAGTATTTTATTGTCCATTTATGCAACCTTTGTGCATATTTTTCTCCAAATATGCTTCTCTGCAACATGTTTGGCCACTTGATTTGGGATTTGGAAATACTGAAATTCAATTTAACCTTTACTTTTGTTAATTGTTCCAGAATGTCAAGGTTGTTTGCATTCTGATTCCATAATGCAAATTAGCCATTCCTCCATCTGGAGGTACCAAAAGATTCTACCAGTGTATAATTATGTCCTCATCCCAAGTTCAATGTGATTGCTGAACCAAGAATGTATGGCGTGGTTCTAGACACCTTCTTCCTGTTATAGGTTAGTCTATGGGTTAGTCCTTTTTAGGAGGCTGTACAAGGAGTCGCAGGGTCAAGTATCTTTTACTCAGTTAATTTACATTCCTTTGTGTTGCCCCAGAGTATACTGGGACAGACCTGGTCAAAATCTTTGCAGAATATGTTTGCAAGTTCTCCAGAATAGATATTAAGTAACCATACTTAAAACAAATTAATAGATTTAAACTCATCTGGAACATTTAATATACTCCTATACCCTAAGCTTTAAATTTGTCATTTTAATTGTCACCCTATTAGATGAGTGTGAATGTTATTTTCTGGAGGAAGAGAGACGAAACAAAACAGAAGTGGAGTAGCCAGGCCTGCTGCTCCTGTGCTGTCATTTGAACTTCTTTGTATGTAAGCAGCCGGTATACTCTTCCGATATCTGGTAAAAATGTCACCGTTACCACTTGATCTGACAATCACTACAGGAATTTAAAAGACTTTTTGTTTTTATAATTCTTAAAAGCTTCGGTTTATTTTATTTTTCTTACTTTATGACACTCTTCTTGGAGGACCAGCTCCTGTCTCGTAGCTCTCTCTATAAAGTTTATTACGGATTATGCTTGTCGTGGGGAGAGAAGCAGAGTTTATAACACAGTCTCTGAATCGAAGGAGTTTAAAGTTTGCACCCGGCAGATGACATAAGCAAGAAACACTCTCCAAATGCTGCGTGTCGGCCCTTAATAATGAGTCTGATATGTGGGGACAG